TGTTTTGAATTTTTTTATTAAGACCGGCCTCTTTTGGTCTTCCAGATCCTTGACATCTCCGAGACTGACAACGGCGTTGATTGTCTAACAAGGATTCTAAATGATCTTTTTGATTCTGTAATTCTTCGAGGGCCCGAACACGTTGTTTTGGACCCTTAACTGATGAGAAGTCTTTTCGGCGTCTGCCTGAATTTTCATGACATACTGATTTAATGTTCACGGCCAATTTCTTGTAGTCTCCGTTGCATTAATTCCATAATGACTCTGTCACCTTGAGCGCCTTCTTGTAATTTTTGAATTTTCTTAAGATAGATATTTGAGTTGTTTGATTGTTGTTCTAACTGCTTTTTAGGTTCGCATTTTCGTTTTGTAATTTCCTATTAATTGAACTACCATACTTTTTTCTCTCTCTTCATTAGACCATGATTAGACGTAGGTAGTTGATTTTTAAGCTTTTTTAGCTCAGTTCGTAGGGTACCTGATTTATCACACAAAGAACGGAATTGGTTGTCTCGAAGAGAGCTGAAAGGCAATTCTCGCAAAATTCGTTTATTTTCCAGATACTTGCATAGTCGTTTTATGTCCCGTGTCTTTTTCTTGATAGCAACCGGTCCTTTATTATCACTTTTAGGTTTTAATTCTTTAATCCTTGTGAAGCACATTCTAGAAAAATGTCCAATTCTGTGACATTTGTAGCACTTCTGGTTAAATGCAAAACATGAAACGTTAGAATGCACGTTTCCGCACCTTTCGCACACTGGATGCTGACATGAAGGGAAGTTGAATTTTTCTGTCTCCACTACTGTCGGAAAGAATACTCTATTGCTGGTCCTAATGCGCCTGCTTCATCTGTATCTGCACTGTCAGTTCTAGGGAAACTCGCTATTTACAACTCGTAGCTAGACGAAAATGATGTGCACGCCAAAAATAGGCAGGGGGTCCGGGGTCGCCTTAGGATTCCACACCAAGTTTTACGGGTTATTTCGGGTTAGGGTTAGGGCTAACCCTAACCCTAACCAGATCTTTAAAATTTGGGGACTAATACGGAAGCTCCTGGGTTTTCACGTTTAGACTGAACAAAATTTACGAGTATTTTTAAATATATAACGTATGCAACGACTATGAAGTAACAACTTCGCACATTTTGATTTATGACACCAAAAAATAATAGGATTCTATTGATATTTAAAAAAATATTTATGTTTTTATTTTTATATAAAATCAAGTGCATTGAAAGAATTTTTGTGATTACTTTAAAAAGGTATTTTTAGTTCCATTTTTTGTCTAATTTTTTAATGAAAATAAAACAAAACAATTTCAATCCAGCAAATTTAATTTCCCCAAAACGTGCGGCGTCAAGTTTCGTGTTTTAAACGTTTAAATTTTATAAAATTCTCCAAAATCCATATTTTCTGGATTTAGCATTAACAAATTGTTCCATTGCTTTTTCTATATCAATTTTAAAATCTCTGTGAATATAAAAGAAGTCCAAAGATGACAATCTGTCATTTCTCTAGTGGAACGGACGGACCTTTTCATCGCCGCAAAACGCTGCAAGGACCTCTCTGCAGTTGCGCTTGCTACCCGGCATGGTTAGCAATATGAATATACACTCTAAAAATTTTATAGCGCTGAAAAAAGAATCTGTGTTAAGTTGTATGAAAAGTGTGCGCGGAATTTTTATGAAAAGAGTTTGTAAATCCGGATTAACTATAGGTATTACATATATAACGTTAGGCCTGCAGGCATAGTACAGTTAACAGTGAATCCAAAATTTAATTTTTTATATGACGATATAATCATTTTTTTAATAATAACATTTTATGAAAAATGAGTAGTAATTTTTTTGGATGTAAAAATTGCACGCCATGGCGTATGCGTATAGGCAGCTACGCCCACCGCCAAAAGTCTATTTATCTTGCTTTTATTCTTATTCTACCTACCTATATATATTCTTTGTTCTTATTGTAATAATATGTCACTTTATTGTATTCATATTCGTCTTTATATACATTTCACATTTAACCTTTTTCAATCTTCATTTTGTCCTTACTTCAATGTTGCTTTATTCTTGTAAATGCATTGTACTTTCTTTTAAAATGATACTGTTTCTTAAGTAAATCATTATGATTATCTCCGTTACAAACGTAGATTTAGTCACGCAAGCAATAAAGCATATTCAATGAAGACGAATACAAGAACATATAAATCCAAATTTAGTGCGGCATTATAACGCTAAATGACAGGGTTGTTAAAATTAGGTAGGCAAACCCGGACCGGGATTATTCGAGATTTTTTCAATTTTCTGCCTTAATACTTTATCGATAAAACCTAAATTTTCAATTGATGTTTGTTATAGGTTTGGCCAGGTACCAGATGCATTCTGTTACCTCGGAAGACATAACTTTATGGGGATAATTTACTGAATATGTGCATTGAAGGGCCTTCCCCCCACTTTTTTTTATAATTGTTAAAATGTTTATATACTAAAGTTTTTAGTGTATGAATAAAAGTTATCCGTCCTATATGAATAAATAATAAAAGCATTTTAGTAGTGTTTTCATAATTCAATTATTTTAACAATGCAGGTAAACATAGGTAAACTGCACTAGTCTACAAGAAATGACCCGTTTGCTATAAAACTAATTATGTCCTCTTTTTTAAAAATAAGAATCGTCTCGGAACAATATAATAATCTGCTGTGCACGATAAAATTTTAATGTGCACTTTTACATTGAATCGTTTGAAACTATACGTGCCATTTTTTTTTAAATAAGATCATTTCCCCATTTTAAACAATATATGCATCGTGTCCATGTATATAAAATTCACACCAAAAGCGGAAGATTCAAGTCTCACTATGGTCGTATAGGGCGGAAGGCTGAAGTGGGGGCTTGCCCGCCCCCTCCCCCTCCCCGTTGGCGCATGTATTTTAGAGTGGACAATTTCCTTGTTTTTTTTTTTGCTTGTCAAGTAGTTTTCACATCGTGGGTTGAATTTTCAAAAACGATGCTACGTCACTGTTCTCTCGCCTGAAAAAATATAACGAGGTCTGTTAAAGTTATTTGTTGGATAAAAGATCCCTCTCAGTTATATTGACATAAAAATGTTAAATAATTTGAGCTCTACTGGAAAGAGTTACTTCTTATAAATTGAGTTGTTTTTCAGGACCTTCCACTGCAGGGTAAACTTTATATTCACGACAGATAGTAACTGCTCATGCGTGTGATTCTAGGGACGGGGCTTTGCAAAGGAGTGAGGAGCGTTTTTACTACTGAAAATGTTCAACAAAAGACCAGTTGCTACACCCCAAGCATACTAGAAACTCCCCGGTCTTCTTTTCTGCTATAATATTTTATATTGAAATAGTACTTTTCAATAAAGAAAAGAAATATCTTTAGTTTGTTTGTTTGCACGGCGTATCTTTTTACCTGTAAATTAAAATTACATCAGCCAGGAGATATATAAAACATCTTAAAACTTGAAAATTTTTTTGGTGGTGAAGGGGAGGGGGGGGGTTGTCGCCAAATATTACTCACTAAGTACATGACATTTAAAATATAAATTGACTATTAGTGCTGCAACAAAAAGTGCAAGGGATGCAAAATACCTTACGCTGAACTTTGCCAGTAGTAAAAAAGTCTGTTACGTTTAGGAAAATGTTTCTTGTCCATGCCCCTCTACCGGTGCAGGCGCGGATAAAGAGTTTTTTTCTAAGGGGGGGGCCTCCACCCCTGTCAAAAAAAACCCAATCCCATTTCTTGACAAGCAAAAAAAAAACAACCAAACAAACAAAAAAAACCTAAACTCGCCCAAACTTGAAAATCCTATTTCGTTGGGGGTGGGTGGGGGTTGTAGTCTATGACTTCTACAAAAAATTCCTTCACTTTTCATTCCCATTTCACACATATTCATGTTAACCGTGGGGGGGGGGGGGGGTTCCAAGGTAATTTTTTTTCTTGCTTAGTATATACATTTCTTAACCTTGTAAATTCCAGGGGGGGGAAAAAGATCCCCCAAGCTCAATGGCCATGAGTGAAACTATGAAGGGGGACGAATTGCTATATGCAGCGAGATTTCCCACAGAAGACTAGCTATATATTGAAACTTCCCCGGGGGAAGTCTCAATATATAGTCTTCCGAAGGAAGCATCAATATGTAGTCAGTCTTCCAGGGGAAATATTACCATCTTGAGGGAATGGCATTATCGAAGCACATACCTGAACTTATAACAAACATCATTTGAAAATTTAAGTTTAATTGATAAAGTTTTAAGGCATAAAATTGAAAAATCTCGAATAACCCCGGCCCGGATTTGCCTACCTAGTTTTACCAACACTCGTAGCGAACACCCCTGCCACCTAGCGTTATAATGCGGCACTAAATTTTGACAACTTGTATTCGTCTTCATTGAATATATTTCATTCTTTGTGTGATTGAATTCAATTAATCAGATAATCATTTAAGAAACTGTATCAATTTAAAAGAAAGTAAAATGAATTTACAAGAATAAAGCAACATAGAAGTAAGGGCAAAATGAAGAAGGATAAAAGTCAAAGTGAAATCTAATAAAGACGAATATGAAAACAATAAAGTGACATATAATTACAATAATAACAAAACATAAAGAAGTAGTCAGAATAAGAATAAAAGCAAGATACATAGACTTTTGGCGGTAATTCCCTTCCATAAAAAACTAATAAATATTTATACAAAACAAGCCTTAAAACCGTATCGAAATCCCTTTGAAAATTAATTTTACTCTTTGAAAGTGTTGAAAAAATTTATTGGGTTCCTGTGTCATATATAAAAAAATTATCATAAATTAAAAAAAAAAAATGCCAGTAAAGAATGAAAGGATGTCACATATTGAAAATTTTAAGTTAAATCTTATGTTTCAAAATAATTGTGTATTTGAATGACAGTAAACATCATGTAAATGTATCAAATGTTTAGAAGCACGCAAGAAATGTGTAAACTCGTCATTTGAATGCCCTTCTCCGAGGAAGAAGGATGTTGTGTTTTTTGATACTCGCGTTTTCCCAATTTTACAGCTTGATAACTGGATTGTCAATAAAAGGACCACATTCTTTTGTTAAAAGTAAGCAGTTTTCTTTCATGTATTTGCAAGAGAAATGCCTTATCAAAAGATGAAATCAATTTTATTCATAACTTATAACACATAATACTTTCACAAATCATAATAATACATCACTTCTTTCAATTTGTATTTTTTTTTTCGTTCAACAGGTGAGGTGGGTTCTTTTCTAAAGCACGGACCATGGCAGCACACCGATATGTCTGCCTCCCTTAGTGGTCCAATAGTCCTGACTCTTCAGTCCAAATACAAGTTATTCGGAGGCCTTGTCTTTTCAAAATGTATGTCAGAATCTTTTTAAAGTAAACAATATATTCCATGGACAATAAATCTTCATTGAGTATTTCTAGTCATATTTTTCACGTCTTTATAGATTATGTCTGTCATTTACTTTAGTTTCGCATAAGAATCAACAGATTGTTTTAATAATTCAATGGGTGTACAGATAGAATGATATGAGTATAATATAGAAACGATTTGTGTCTTCATTCAAAATTACCTGACAAATATTCCGAAAAGTCTGAAAAATAAAATTTTATCATGTGAGGCACAAGACACTGCATTATATTGAAATATTACTTTTACAAAATGTCTGTATGATACAATCAATTTATATGACAGTTCCTGAAAAGTTTAAAGATTGTTCTGAGATTTTAAAGAAGAAGCCTCACAGAAGAAACAGAGATGGCGTGTACACAATCTATCCTAGTAGTGGAACCAAACGAAAGGTGTACTGTGACATGACGACAGACGGAGGGGGATGGACAGTGAGTGGATTTAATGGGTTTTTTTTTATATGAGTAATAAGTTGAGTAAAATATTGTGTATAACTCGAGTAAAATATTAGGCGTCACATGCGGTCAAACATTTTCAGTTGGGGTCACTATCAGCTACAAAGAATTCTTGACAAGCAAAAAAAAAAAAAAAAAAAGAATTCCAAAGAAAAAAGGTCATCGGACGTTTAACTGATCCCACCTCTGATGTTTCGGAGGTCCGTGTTTGCTCTGCTCCTATTTTGTATTGTTTTATGGACTTTGAAATTGAATACTGTTCGTAACATTGTATCTCCATATCCTTCTTCATAGTATTCTATATATCGTGGTAAACTTATTAAAATTATTACTCTCAGTTCGTACGCCTATTAATATCAAATAGAACCTTTAGTTATTAACTTTCTTTTTATTGTCTTTCTGTCAATAATGTTAGGTAATACAGAGAAGAATGGATGGAACAACAGATTTTCAGAGTAAGAAATGGAAGAACTTTGCTGAAGGATTCGGTCACCCTAAACATGAATATTGGTTTGGTCAGTTTCTTATATATTTCTTTGAATAAAAAAATCTATTTCATTACAATTTTGATAATGCTGTTCATTACTAAGTATTTTGGAATATTTTGAAACTTTATGATCGTACATAAATGGATAAGTACTTTTCTTGAACAATGTCTTATCATAAGAAGATATTTTAGGTTAAATTAATGAAATAAAATAATTGTCCTAAATACAAAGAAAAGATTATAGAATGGAAGATTCGTAGAGATGTAAGTTTTTTTAAAATTACATAGAAATGTAGAGGATTTAATTATAAGGTGAATGTTTTTTTTTCAGTTTTCGAAAAGAACTAAGTATATAAAATAAACTAAAATATGCTTTAAATATCTAGAAATTTACCTTTAAATTCATTCATATAGGGACATTAAGACTAAAATGAAAATAATTGACCTGTCACTCTTATTTAAAGGTAATGATGCTGTCCATGCATTAACAACGGGAGGAAAAATGAAATTAAGAATCGATTTGCAGAGGTTCACTGGCGAGAAAGGATTTGTTTACTACTCATCTTTTGTTGTCGGAAGTAAATCAGACAAGTACAAGTTAACCATTGGAGGATACAAAGGATCATTTGGCATGAGTATGTATCCATTGCAGATATTTGTATTTGCGAAATTTTCGATGCTGAAAACAGCGCTGCAAGATGGTAAATAATCTCTCCTTAGAAATGTTGACTGCAAAAATAAATCATTTTATCTTGAGTGGTGGTAACTAGCCCCCACCCCCACGCCATCCCGAAATGAAATTTTGGAGTTTGTAAAAAAAATCTCATCACCATGTTTCTCTGTTGGTCATCTTGGAAATTTATATTTATGCGAGACCTTGAAAATGATCAATCTGATTTAAAATTTACCCTCCCTTAAGGACAAAGGAAGGTACCTTACCTACTGATAATTTTTCAAGATATTCCTAATCTAAACTTACAATACCATTACATGTTCTTAGACAAAAATCAGCATGCGTTACCAGGGGTTTTAAAAAAATATCAAATTTTGAAAAAAATTCCATTAATCAAAGAAAAATGTACAAAAATTACAAAACATAAATTCCAGATTTTTTTCATCAAAAATTGTTTTAGAATAGGTGTACAAATCCATATATAGACATTTAAAATATATTGCAGACAGATCCTTCATTTAGTGGAACTCTTCAACTCCAGGGAAGAACCCAATAAAGTTCAAACTACGTTGCGTATGACCATAAGAATAAAATAACTGTCAATTAGCAAATTGTCCCATGGGCCAATTATTTACATATTTTCGGTAAATATAATATTCCATGAGTTTTTAAATGTCAGTAATTATTAAGTGTGTGCAAAATTAGAGCTAAGTTTAGATATTTAATTTTTTACTGTATGGCACACCACCTTTTACAAATGCAAGATAGTAGAACATTGTGTGCTACTTTACAAACAGCATAGGCGCCGGAACCGGGTTAGCTAGGTTTTCGTTAATTCTTTTCTCTTCTTTTGGTCAAGGTATTTTCTTTCGTCAAATTAGCCTCCCTTCCTGTTCAATATTGCTTCCGACGCAAATGCAACGTTAAGGTTTTTGTGACAAGTAAGGCAGACACAATCCACAAAATCTGTGATAAAAGATAAATCTACAAATATTTTTATCATGGATTCTTCTATATTCTTAAATTAAAAAAGAATGAGGGTTATAATTCTGCTTTCAGTTTATTGTCAAATATTTAAATTCGCTGTTTTTTTTCTACTAAGTCAACAGTGAAATTGATTTGAATGCCGTTTTCGTACATATACTTAGGAGTAAAAAAAGTACACGGAGAAACTCACGCTAAAGTGGTGTCACAATGAGGTTACAACGACGTTGGTAAAAATGTAACTGAAGGAATTCAAATATTGAGCATATTTTTGGTGCCTTCAAACATTGAAAATGTAAATCGATTTTTTTTAGGTTTAGTGTAAATTATTGGTGTGTCAATGACACAGACTTGCACGAGAGCCTGCATATTTCTTACAAAGCGATAGTTTAAGTTTGTATGATTTACGTGAGTATGTACACGAAAATGGTATTCAAATCAATTTCAAAGTTGGCTTAGTAGAAAAACACAGCGAATGTATGCACCAATAGCTCACACACCTTAAAACATCTCGTTTGCCCGACTTAGTACTAGTATTGTGTACATTTCAGAGAGCAATATGTTTCCGTACTTTGAATAACAGTAATAATACACCAATGCATTATTTTATTTTATTTACAGAGGATAGTTTTTCTTATCATAATGGAATGAAATTTTCTACAAAGGATAATGACAATGATAAATGGGGCAGCAATTGTGCTGCTTCTTACGGCAATGGATGGTGGTTCAATACGTGTCACCATTGTAATCTCAATGGAATATACTACAAGAAACGGACATCATCTTCTGCAGGAATGACTTGGCTTTACTGGGGATCTACGAGTTCTTGGGATTCATTAAAATCTTCAAAAATGATGATTAAACCGAAGTAATAATTTAATTTTTACAATTCTTGAGAAAATAAATTACCTAAAGTTCAACATGTTCAATGTTTATTTGTTAATGAAGAAGTATTGAATTGGGTATTTCTTGGAAATTAAAAGACCGAAGAATCCATACCCAACAATAACCTACGGTGTGTGCTAGCCGTTGAATCAAGTAATACACCCCCGTTAATTCCAAACATTGCCTTTTACTATTAATCATGGAAAGATAGAGGAAATTCGAGCAACTGAAAATTTGCCAGCGTCTCTTAATTACAAAAACACTTCTAAAATCAGTAAAAGTAGTTCTTAAATGACTAACTTAGTCACTGCAAACAAATTATCAATCACAGTGATGTTTAATAAGATTAAGACCGTTTAATTTGTATTCTTTATACTACTTGTACGAGGTCTGGCTGAAGCTCGAAGTTGGTCAACTTTAACTTCAAATTAAAAACTATTTGTACATGAAATCAAAAATCTAACAAATACGTTCTCTAGAGACATTTATCATAAATCATTTCTGAGAACTTACATTATTATAAGGTAATCCAATTTTTTGCAAAAGCACTTTTTGTAAGAGCCCACTTTTCGCCGTTTTTTGATATAACTGCGCATGCGTGGACTCGTTTTTTGGAGTCTTTTCTGGACTGAAATTCTCACTTCCGTTAACGCCGTTTTTGGAGTTCGTCTAGACTGTTAATTCGTTTATAGAAAGGCAGGTTATCTCCCCATTTTTTCAGAATTAAAGTGGTAAATATGACTGAATTACATTTGGTGAATGAAATTGGACTCTCATCACGAGGTAGGATTTTCATTTATATATTGCATAAATTTCTGACCCGTGTAGTAAATTGACATGGACAATAACTATTTAAGTTAAATTTTGAGACAAAAGCTTAATTAATACATGTATATTGAATTGTCAACTTCGTTTACTTATGTGGAAATATATCCTTATCACCTGCATGCGGGGCTAATAATTGATTCGATACGCAAGAACATGCTCTACTTAAAATTATTTCTTACTCTAGGCAAGCCCTTGATAAGCAAGTGAAATATACAAAAATAGCAACAATTTCGATTGAATCTCGTTTGAAATCATTTATCAAGATCTATGGTCGATATAATGACCTAGTTAGTAAATACAACCTATCAAAATGAATGACTTTTATATACTAGTATTTATTCATATCCTATTATTGTCTGTGGATTTTCCCCTCATTTCAAAATTATGGCACACGTCTGCTGAGACCGATAAGCAGGGATGTACACATTCTTTATCCAGAGTTATCTTCCGCTACGCTCACAAGACCTCTGTCAACACTCGTTGTACAAGATTCGAGTACAAAATTGGCATTTTGTTTTCATTCCCTAGCTATTCAGAGTAGTCTTTCGCTATACTACTTCCATAAACAATTATTTTACAAGCTTTAACGTGTTAAATATAAATGCTAAAACTGTAATAAAAAATGTAAATTTATATGAACAAAAATGATATTTTATCTATTTTAAAACGCGGTATTCCTTAAGGTCAAGACCTAGTAAACTCAAGATTGAGAAATAAGTTCTTTTAATAATTCTTTTCAAATATAATTTGGTAATAATGTGAATCGAGGCATATTTGTTTAGAACAACTTCATATCATTATTCGTAGGGAAAGCAGTCCCGGAGAATTGAGGCGGAATGGAGTTTGGACTGTCTTATATATATTTACTTATTTTGTCGGTAATTAAATAATATTTTCCGGAGTAATAATATTTTCCGGAGTAAAAATTAAATTAAGTTAAGAATTCCTTTAAGGGGACATTAGTTAAAAAATTAGTTCATTATGCTCCCGTAATCGAAGATTTGAGGGAATATAGTTTTTGTCGTGTCCGTCCGTCTGTCTGTCTGTCCGCAAAAACATTAACTTGTCCATTACTTTTGATTTAGTGAAACTATGACTTTCATATTTCACATGTATGTTTCTTGTGACAAGACTTTTCTTAGGGTACTACCAAATTTGACCTTTTGACCTTGACCCACTTTTCCACAAAAATTCCAAAATTTTACTTTGGCCTTAAATTTTGAACTGTAAATACAAGGACTTTCCTTTTCACTTATATTCTTTGTAGCAAGACCTTTCATTGGATACCCACAAATTTGACCTTTAGACCTGGACCTTGGAGATTTCCATACTTACAAAAAAACTTTAACCTTGGCCATAACTTTTGAACGGTAAGTACTAGGGGTATCATCCTTCACATATGTCATTCTTGTGAGAAGACCCTTCATTGAATACCAAGAACCTTGATCCCTTGACCTTGAAGTTTGACCTACTTTTAAAAAAAAACCTTGACACTAACTTTTGAAGGCCAAGACTAGGGCTTTTATACTACACTTTTTCAATCCTTGTGACAAAACGTTCTGTTGGATATCGACAACTTTGACCTTGACCTTTGGGTTTGATCACTTTTAAATGTTTAACCTTGGTCATAACTTTTGAACAATTAGGGCTAGGGCTTTCATACTTCACATATGTAATACTTGTGACAAGACCTTTCTTAAGAAACCTACAACTTTGACCTCTGTCCTTGGAGTTTGACCTTCCATTCAAAAACTTATCCTTGGCCATAACTTTTGAACATTTTGTGCTATGGCTTCCATCATGATTTAAACTGTTTGAATATTAATTTTCACCGCTTACAATTTGTTCAAGAATTTTGTAGATTTATACATGTACATGTACCAAGGTTAACAGAGGTGAATGTGGTGCATGTGGGAGCAAACTGTAGGAAGAAAGACATTTCTAAAATACTGATAATGGATCTTATGATTTTAATAAAACTCAAAACGAAATATTGTCTTTTGCGTCACCTTCGAAAACTTCCTTTGACAATAAATATTGCTCGTTTAACTGCTCCAGTTATCAGTCCATTAAAAACAAAATGCATTAATAAGATAAGAAAGAAAGAAAGCAAGTTGCATTAAAATTGAGATACGTTTTAATTTTTCGTTGATGTTTTTACTTTTCAAAATTTAATATTTTATCCAAAAAGAAGTATTCTTTTCGTTCAAGCCACATTCAAATACCCAAAATGGCATTCAGAGTAGGTAATGCATTTATTTTCAATTGTGGGCCCAGAAAGCATTCAAATGTAAAAAAATATGTGGAGGTCTTGTGAGCAATGAGCTCTCTAGATGATATCCCAGTCTCCCATATCAATAAAAGGGCAATGTGCATGTATTGCTATGGGAAACCCAAAATATGTATCGGATCAAAAAGTAAAATAGGAGGTCACAATGGAAATATGCTATAATAATTCTTTGAAAGTCTAATCAAATTTCATTCAGTGGTGTGAGAGGAGTTGCGGACAAGATATGGGTACCCCAAAGCGTAACAGACGAAGGACGGACATCCCGATTACTATATACCCTTAAGCTTTTCAAGCGAGGGTTTTAACAAAATAAAGTGATTATTTTAGAAAATGGTAGTTGAACAATTAACGTAACGACATTTGATGCATGAAAAAGGATATGGAGATAACGAACAGTATTCAATCTCAAAGTTCATAAAACAATACAAATTAGGAGCAGAGCAAACACGGACCTCCAAAACATCAGAGGTGGGATCAGGTGCCATGGAGGAGTGAGCATCCCCTGCTGACCGGTCACACCGACAGTGTGCTTCTTGTCATGATCGGAAAATAACGGAAAATACGTCGTCAATTCAGTGTATAAATAATGGACTAACAATTATGAAAAACGTCTGTCAGCATTTGAATATAATTATGCAAACATACAATGTATATGCATTTAAAAAAGATGACAAACTTACGATAATGATACATGAAGACTAGTTTGTTGTTAGTTTTTATGATTGGACAACTTTTCTTCTTATAAGATGTGCAAAAACATGTTAAGGAGAAATCCTTTTAAAATATATTTTTAAAAAAAATTAATGATTTTTTTAACAGTCAATAAGTAATTGGCATCAATATGCACGACGGGGGTTACATGTAATTAACGTCTTTTTCAAGTAAAATATCCAAATCCATTTGTGTCAGACTATGTGGTATCTTTTATCTCAAGCTTATCAGGGTATATCATATCGACATAAGAATAGGAATTACCTGTTTAAGTGAGCTTTTCTGATCAGATTTTGTCTGGAGTCCGTCTTGCTGTTTGTCCGTCTATCTAGCTGTCTTTTTCTCAGTCTGTCTTGTCTGTAAACTTTTCACATTTTCGACTTCTTCTCCAGAACCATTGGGCCAATTTCAACCAAACTTGCCACTGAGTATCCTTTGGTGAAAGGTATTCATGTTTGTTCAAATGAATGGCCACGCCCTTATTCAAAGGGAGATAATGCAGAAATAGTGAAAATTTGGTTTTTTGAAAATCTTCTTCTCAAGAACCACTTGGCCAGGAAAGATGAATTAAACTTATAAGGAAAATTCGCAGGTAGTGTAGGTTCAAGTTTGTATATATCATAACCCCGGGGGTAGGGGGGTAAGGCGGGGCCACAATGGTCGATCAAATTTTTAGTAAGAAATATATAGAAGAATTCTTTAAAAATCTTCTCAAGAATAGCAAAGGCATGATTGATCATATTTATATAGAAGCATTTTCGGGTAGTGTAGATTCAAATTTGTTCAAACCATGACCCCCGGGTGTAGGGCGGAGCCACAATGGCCAATCAAAGTGTTTCATAGAAATATATAGTATAATTCTTTAAAATTGTTCTTCTCAAGAATAGCAAAGCCATGATTAGTCATATTTATGGCTGGCAACAGTGCTCAGGCGAGCGATGTGGCCCATGGTCCTCTTGTTATAAAGTTTTCGAATCCAATTAGATATGGTAGTTAGAATTCAGTTTTAAGTTAGCGTGACACTAAAATAAATTACGCTGAAATTATTGGTATACCTTCGAGCAGGCAAAACACCAAATTTTACATCTGCAAAGAAAACCCGTTATAGTGTGCAGTACATTTAATACATTCTGTCAAAGTCAACGTCTTCTTTTTTTTATATATCTGGCTTATCGCC